TGGGGGAGCACAGGCTGGGGGCTGATGTGCTCCCCCTGCCCTCACCCAGGAGAACAAGGTGAAGTTCGCGCTGTACCTGGAGAAGGAGTACAAAGTGAAGATCAACCCTTCCTCCATGTTCGACGTGCACGTGAAGAGGATCCACGAGTACAAGCGGCAGCTGATGAACTGCCTGCACATCGTCACCATGTACAACCGTAAGCCACCGCACGCCCCGAGGGGACAGGCTGCCCTGGGGGGGCACGAGCGTCTCTAGCCCTTGGGGCTGCAGCTAAAACAGAGGGTGACACCACGCTGCTGTCTTCTCCAGGCATCAGGAGGGATCCTGCGAAGCTGTTTGTGCCGAGGACAGTGATCATTGGGGGCAAGGTAAGTTGGGTCAGGAGTTTTAGGTATTTTGGAGGGAGTCCTTGAAAATGCCCTAGGGGATTTGGATGCAGATGTTCTCATGGGGTTGTGTCCCTGAAGCCCCCTGGGAAGCCCTGAGGCAGCACTTGCTGGCTTCAACCCGAGCAAGGTTCTGCTGCCTATGGTCATGCAAGCCCCCAAAAACTTGGTGGCAGAACCCATGAGTTGGATGAGGGGTGGGAGCAGGGCTGAGCGGGTGCTTCCCTGGGCATGTGGGAGCTGGGTGCTCCTCGCCTGCCCCTGACACCAGCCCTCCAGGCTCACCGGTGCCTTTTCTCCTAGGCTGCCCCAGGATATCACATGGCTAAAATGATCATCAAGCTCATTAACGCTGTGGCTCAGGTGGTGAACAACGACCCCGTTGTGGGGAGCAAGCTGAGGGTCATCTTCCTGGAGAACTACAGGGTCTCAATGGCAGAGAAAGGTAGCCCACGTGGGGTACGCTGTGGGGCGATGTCTGCCCCGTGGCTGTCCACCAGCCCGTGGCTCCATCACTGCGAGACAGCAGATCTAACGTCTTTCAGCAGAATCCAAAGCTGGTCACCTTTGTGAGCCCCTTGTGTCCATGTGTTTTGTTGGCAGTGATCCCTGCTACCGACCTGTCGGAACAGATCTCCACGGCAGGCACTGAGGCATCGGGTACGGGGAACATGAAGTTCATGCTGAACGGGGCTCTGACCATCGGCACCATGGATGGAGCCAACGTGGAAATGGCTGAGGAGGCTGGAGAGGAAAACCTGTTCATCTTCGGCATGAGGGTGGAGGACGTCACGGAGCTGGATAGGAAAGGGTGAGGGCCGGGGACACCGCGGGGGTGCTGCCACAGGCAGCCGGAGCAGCACCATCTCATATCAACCCTTCCCTGCCAGGTACAATGCCCAGGAGTACTATGACCAGCTCCCCGAGTTGAAGCAAGCCATTGACCAGATCAAGAGTAGCTTCTTCTCCCCGAAGGAGCCTGACCTCTTCAAAGACGTGGTCAACATGCTCTTCCACCACGACCGGTGAGGCCTGGGATGCCATCCGTCCTCTGGGTTGGGTCTCTCCACCAAACTCCTGGTGCCTCTGCAGAGCCAGCCCCCTGCCCCAACCATCCACCCTCTGGCTGATAAGGTCCCGTTTTCTGGCCCTAACGTTGTGCACGTGGACGAGCAATTGACGCTCCGTGGGTACAAAAGGCTCTCCGTGCGCAGCACTTCCCGCTTGCTGCATTAAAGCCTGGGGTACATTATGACCAAGATACATTCGGGTGCACGGCCCTTGCCAGATGGTAGATGCTTTTAGGTATCTCAAAGGGCTTTCCCGGCCAGAGGGCTAAGCAGCCAAGGGCCGTGGGCGGCTGCACCGGGGAAATGTTTTCCCAGTGAGCTGATGCAGGCAGGGTGTCCCCTCCCGGGCCACCCATCCGGCCCACGGGCTTGCAGGGCCCTGTACAAAACAGGGCTTGGGGAGGCCAAATTCGCCCGAAGCGTTCACGTTCGAAGAAGCCCCAGCTCTGGCAGCCCGAGCCCCGCGCGCTGCAGCCACCGGCCACCGCCGCGCTCCCACCTGCGCGTTTCTGCCGTCGCTAACCCCCCTCTCTTTGCTGCTGCAGGTTTAAAGTTTTTGCAGACTATGAGGCTTATGTCAAATGCCAAGAGAAGGTCAGCGAGCTGTACCTGGTGAGCGCCAGCCCGGGGGTGAGGGGTGGGGGAGCTGTGATGGGGACACAACATCCTATCCCAAAGAAGGGGTCTGGTGGGGCTGTGCACATAGATGGGTTCCCGGCGAGGAGGCTCCTGGCTGTGCTGCTGCAGGGGGTCCCTGGTTGAAAGCCACTCTCGGGGCCAGCGTGGCACCCACGGGTGCAAGCCTCCGGCCGTACCATCCCACCACTCTCCTTGCAGAACTCCAAGGCATGGACCAAGATGGTCATCAGGAACATCGCAGCGGCTGGCAAGTTCTCTAGTGACCGCACCATCAAGGAGTACGCCCGGGACATTTGGCACGTGGAGCCCTGACATCTGGCACGTGGAGCCCTCCGACCTGAAGATCCCACCGCCCAACGAGCCCCGGGACGCAGCCGAGGACAAGACCCCCAATGGCACAGCGGCGTAGGGGCACAGAGCCGCCGGAGCCGGGGGACACGAGCGTGTGTGTTGTAAAATTCTCTGCTGTTTAGTCTCTCTGTTGCTGCTGCCGGCTTTCCTACGGATGGGGAAGGGGGGGGCATTTTTATAACGTAAGTGTCGTGCGGAAAGCAAAACCACGTAGCCCTGTTGCTTGCATAGGTGCTAAAAATAAAAGTGCCATTGGAGTCCAAGGGGCTGTTCGCTGAAGCCTAAAATTAGGGACTGGGCTCACTTGCACCAACGCTAACGCAGAAAGAGGGGGCAGGCGGGGAGCTGCTGGGGCTCAGTGGAGGGCAGGGTGGGAAGCCCAGCTGGCCACAGCTATCTGAGCCCTTGCAGGCGATGCTGAAGCAGGGCTTGGGGTGCAGCTCGTGCCAGTCCTGAGGCATCAGTGCTGGGGGGGGTTTGCAGTCAGGCTCAGGTACCCCCACCACTGCCCCATATGATGCTCCTGGCCACCGCTCGCATGGTCCTGTCCCAGGAGCAGCAGCCAGATCGCAGCAGTATCTCCATCCCCCCCAAGTAACCTTGAGCATCCTCGAGGCAGTGGGCGAATTAGAAAGTTTCTCAGTAGTTTTTATTACGTACAGCAGTAAGTTCAGTGCAGCGAGGGGTTCCTGGTGTGGGTTTGAGGGAGCGCTGGTGGTTGCTGCATGCAGCAGCTGGCATCACTTAATGTTCAAGAAGTCTCTGTAACAAGACGCAATAAATCTTACACTGTATCATTGACTGTCCTGGGCTGCTTGAGATCCCCATTTCTGATCCCTGGCTGTGGGTCTGAGCTGAGCAAAGCTGCGTCCCTGCACCCAGGGCAAAGAGGAGCCTGGGGGCTGTCCCCGGGGCCACCTCCCCATGACACCTGGGCCGAGGACAGGCTCAGGGCAGCGAGGAGTGACTGGAGCTCAAAAACTGATGACGGCAAGCACCGTAGGGAGAGGAAGGAGCAGGGGGAAGGCACCTGCATGGTTGCAGCAGGGGAGGATGCACCCATGGAAGAAGAGGCCAAGGCTCATTCTGTGGCCTCCCCCCGAGTTCTGCAGAGCAGCACTTACTTCACCAGCGCAGGCAACTCTGGGTTGAACGAGATGTAGTCATGGCCCAGGCCCAGCTTTTCAGGAAAGGTAATGAACTTCACCTTGGTTTTGTCCTTGTAGGCGCTGCGTGCGGTTTCGAAGAGCTGCCATGGGGTGGGAGCGCTGTTAGTGGCACGCACAGGGGACCCCAAACCCCTTTCCAGTACCCTGGGGCCAGCCACCCCCCCTCTCTCCCCTTCAGCCCCCTGAAAACAGGCTAAACCAGCACCCGTCCCTGTCAAAGCCCACGTGGAGGCGATGGTGGTTCCCACCTTGCGGCCCAGGTGCGGAGGCAGCACAGCATCATCTTCTGCATGCAGGATGAGGAGCGGGCAGGCCAGCACCTTCACACTGCGGGCAGCAAGCACAGCATTGAGGAGTCACCCCCCCCCGAGCCAACAGACCTGCAGGAGCCTCCCTGGGTGCTGCTAAAACCCCCACAGCAACCCTGACCCCCCGCCCAGGTGCTGCCTTTCAGAGCCATCCCAGCCCATCAGTGGCTTAAGGGCAGCTGAATTGCCTCAGG